ATGCCGCGCGAGGAACAAGCCTCCAAATAGAAGAAATGATACAAAACAATATATTCAAGCTTCAGCCAGAAAATAGGATCATAAGGAATGCCGCGGGAGGGATGTATCTTCTTAAAAAAGAGGGCCCCTCACAAGAATATCTTCCCAGTAACATGATAGAAAGAAAACGCATTTTTATAAAAGGCTCGAACAGAAGAATATCATCCATATAACGCGGTAAGAAGAATCTTCGTAAGAATGCCACACCAGCAAAAATTCTCATAATGACATGGCCAAGGGAACTTCATCACAACACCCCAGGACGGGAATATCGTCAGAAAGGAAATGCAGCACAAACAAGCATCTTAATAGTGACACGACAAGGGAAACGGTCTCTATAAAAATGGCGAGCGAAAGGATATATTAAAAGTACAACGCGGTAAAATAAATCATAGGAAGAAGGATGACCCACGAGGAGGATACCTCACGATAACGAAACATAAAAAAAAGGACTTCATAAAAATGCAGCAGGAAAGATCATCCTGAGAAAAATGTCACACACACGAACATCTTCATATTGACGCAACAGGCATGATGTAGCTATGCGAAAATGTAACACAAACAAGCATTATTATAGTGACATGTCAGATATAAGCATCTTTAGAGAAATGCAATACACAGAGGAAGTATCAGAATGCCGTGCCAAAACAGTACACATCACAGTGACATGGCACGAGGACCGCGCATTGACAAAGGAGGGAAGCATCATAAAGATGCAGGAAAAAAAAGCATCATCATGAAAAAACGACACAGAAAAGATCGTGATAAAAATGCAGCAGATAAACACATCTTCATGAAAATACCAGAAGAAGTGCCATCTTCATAAGGATGCTGCCAAAAATGTCATCATAAACAGCCCCTTCCAGAAAATTTTCGTCAGAGGGATGCCACTTAAGATGTATCCTCATGAAAAAATTAGATAGAGAAATATATATAATGAAGCGAAACGAAACTGTGTGAGTCCGACGGATATAAAACACATGACGGGACCCCCCCAAAAAATTAATCCACATGAAACGACTTGGCGAGGTTAAGCCACATAAAGCCACGTCTGGGAAAAATTACGCCAGATGGAAAAGCGTGCCCGAAAAATTCCCCTACGTGAAACGACTTTCGCGAAATTACCCCACGTGAAACGACGTTCGCGAAATTACTCCACGTGAAACGACGTTCGCGAAATTACTCCACGTGAAACGACGTTCGCGAAATTACTCCACGTGAAACCACTTGCGCGAAAATTAGGCCACATGAAAAACCAGCTTCGCAGAATTAAGCCACATGAACAACCATATTTAGGAAAAAGGCGCCAGGAAGGAGAACTCTCATGAAAGTGCAGAAACATGAGAAAAAACCCTTAGGGGAAGGATACAACACAAACAAGCACCAACAAGCACTATGCATCATGGGGACTGATATGCGAAGAAGTTGCGATATCAATTAACGGACTTATAAAAATGCAGAAATATTGAAAAACATACACAGCGACAATACAGCATGTGGTTGGATACTGGGGAAAATATCAAAACATAGAAGAACACACTGACAGAAAGGATGAGCCATGAGGACGAATTCACAAAAATAAGGTAATTATAAAAGAAGCCATATAAACCCGACGGCCCACCAGCTCACGCTCTGCCAACCAGATTCGCCAGTCTTTACTCTATTGCACTCATACGAGTTTCGACAGAAGGGCATGAATACATTTAAACGATATAGCAGCCCTTTCAATCATATACAACACGCATTTAATGTTCAATATGAAATTAGAACTCATATTATACTACTTCAAATTCTACAATCCATTACTCCCCCTATATATGAATAGATAAAACACGTCATGAACAATCGTGTAATTTTAGCGGGTACATTTTTATGCCAAATGAACAATCTTCTAATCCGAATCTGCATATACTGGTAATTACGTTTTCCCTGTGCTTAAAGATGTTTAATCATCCGTACTATTCTTTTTCGTTCTGGTTTTGTTTTTGTGTAGCCTTTTCCTTTATGACGCCAGATGGGCATCATAATTCCCCAGGTTAACATTTCTTATTTTTATGACTCATGAATTAATCCCACATATAGAAGGGAAAAAATATACATATTTGTATGTATATCCATGGGTATATATTCCATGGTCAGGTGTAAGGGAGTGAACAACACATAGGCTGTTTTCAAGAAATGATAGCAATGTATAGAAGGATGTAAATTACGTGTATTTCTGGCGCCAATATCCTGCTTATGCCTCTCAGAATTGATGCATCACCAGTTCATACCCATAATGTAAAATGGCTTAACCACTCCAAATGAGGAATGCCGTAGGTTGTTTCGTTAGTTTACTGCCATTCATCATATGCAGAAATGAAGACGTTATAATCACATATATCTGTTATTGTCAGTTTCTCTTCATGATTCAATACTGGAATTTCTTCCTAATCTCTATGACGTATTTGTTGTAATATGTTATAACCACCCCCACAATTGCTTCACTATCTTTGTTCCCTCTCGTATTATATATATCTGGGGGTAATCACAATAAAGTGCTTTATCATTCTTGTTGTCATTCCCTATCGATTCCGGTTTGATTCTAATTGACATACTTTCATGTCATTGTATCGTCCGTTGCTTTACATAGGGGTGTAATACTCACACTCCTTGGTTCTTTTTTTTCTTATATTTTGCCCATAATAAGTAATCCTCCCGACCAAATTAATCAGACCGCGTTATCACATTCGGAATAGTGAGCTGCTGGCGTAACCGGACAAGAGAAATTCCTAAATATAATTATTGCAATATCTTCTCCCCCGCATAGTGTATTGTATGGCGAAGAATCCTTAACTCTTACTATTCACCCGCATACGTCTTCCCATTTAGTCAATCTTTTTATTCAAAATCGATTTCTTCTTTACTTAATATTAAACCGGGGTAGTGACAGATTTGACACTTCCATTAATACCATGATAGGGTGCAGAGTTCATCTTAGAACTCAATATCCAGAAGGGTATATCCTCTAAGGGAATATCAGATTCACATGAATGAACGCTTTTTTATCAAAATAAATAACTATAAACTCCTTCAGTTCATTATTAATTGAATACTTACCAGAAATATCCTTCACAGATTGTGTTTAACTTCAGGCAATTCCGTATCCTGAGAAAACATTGCTTCCTACTTTGTACTTTCGTCTGTTAGTATAATTTCACGCGGAAATGAGTACACATAAATAAACGACGTGTTAAGTATCGCAGAATGTATCAAAAGGAAAAGAAGAAAAAAAAGAAACCACAAGAAATACACGAAAACCTCTGAATATAACTGCTCTGTAAAATTCAGCAAGTGTACAAGATGAGCATTATATTCTAATATGTGGGTTGTCACAATGTACAATCCCCATTTCGGTACACAGACGTGTGGCATCCGCGCCATGGGAATTACTTAGAAGGAATATATTAGCCTTAGACCACTTATCAGGATAATATTACCAGACACACATATATATATATGTATACCTACGTGTATATAGGTATAGGTACCATTATAGGGGTCAATCAAGGATTATTAAAGTGTGCAGTCATATAAATATGCCTCTCCACTCTTACTAACTTCTTAGCTTTCTCATA